CTCGTGTACGTACGAGTTTTCCCATGTGCACGTAGCGGCGGCGCGACGCATACAGTGAAAATGTGCTTTTCTTGCGGCGACGACGACGACGACGACAACTACGACTACGACGAATAGGGCGACGCGCGCGGTCTTCCTTCTCGCGCGAGAGACCGCCGAGTTTTACCGAAATTCGTGTCGCGATTCGTTTTCGCGTCATCGCGATGCGAATCTCCCCGACACGTATTTCTCTTTTCTCCATCATGATATGACGTTCTCTCGCGTGAATGCGAATCCTCAAGAACGTATCTTCCCGGAGATGTGACGAAAGGATGCACGGAGCGATCCAAATTGGAATGGAATCGCGCGCGTCTATGGGCTCTCTCCCCGTGCGTGTAGAATCTCCTTGTAGGTGCGAAAAGGTCGGATGTTTAACGAAGCTGCGAGGTGATTTTGTTTCCAACGCAACGCTCGCGATGAAAAGAGTGAAATGTGTTTGGTTTCTGTGATCTTCGAGATCCGCGCTTTTCTGTGTGTGTTCTTTTTTTTTTTTCTTTTTTTTTTTTTTGATTTTCGAGGAAACCCTCGAATTTCTTTCTTTCTGAAGTTTCTCATCCCGGATGTCGTCTTCGTCCTTTTGTGTTTTTGATTTTGCCATCCTCCTTGAAGTCAAGTAAGTTTCGTTCCAAGTGTCTGGCGTCACGTATCTGTTTTGGTGTCCTTTGTCTTTGCAATACAGAGCGGAAGTTCGTCCACCTCCGAAAGATTGTCACGCATCCTTATACGCACACGCACGCGCCACCTGGGTGATGAAAAACACGAGAGGGAAAAATTAACGAGCGAACCTTCCCCCCCTCTCCACAATCACGAGCATCCAATTCGGCATCAAGGGGCATCAAATTTTGCGGGTGATAAGAAAAAAAAATAAAAAAAAATAAATAAAGACGCGTGTGATAAAACGAAAAAAAAAACAGAGCCGGAAATAGAGCGATGACAACGAGGGGGTGGAGAAGAAGGAGGAGGAGAAACAACGGCGTCTCGCGAGGCGCCGTGAGATAGATAGAGAGAGAGAGAGAGAGAGGAGATTAACTTTTCGGCCCGGGGCATAATTTCGGTGCTGCTTTGCTGACGCTGTGGTTTTCTGTTGTTGTGTTGCAGAGCTGAAAAATTGGCGGATATCACAGATATTTAAGAGACACAGTCACAGCGACGAGAGGAGGCGGTGCTCGTTGTGCGGTAAGGTCGTGACGAACGTGCGCAATCACTATTACGTGCACTTTCCGGGAAAGTACGCGTGCCCGTTCTGTCCGTCGGTGTACACGCGCAGCGACTCCCTGCTCACGCACACGCGCACGAAGCACGCGAACCCGCCGCAATAACGCACGCACGCGTCGCAGACGCGTCAAGCCGCGAACCTTAAGCTGGGGATCTAGCGAATAACACGCGCGGATGTGAGAGACACACACAAACACAAACACACACACACACACACGAGAAAGATACAAACGCGTCCTCTTGTTTTCTCCTTTCTTCTTTCTCCCTCCCTTTTCCTCCTTCCGTCCCGAGAGAGAAGGACATGTCTCTCACGACGACGAAGGTGAGCGAAAACACGACCGCGGTGACAACAGGTTCGCGCGTAAGTTCGAGCGAATTACTTTTCCCGTCGATCGGCAAATCGCATTTGACGAGGAAATCGCGCGACAGAAAGATTTCCGCGTGTAAGTAACTTTGCGGAGACGTGACGCTGCACAAAGACTGATCCACACAGATGTGCGATGACCACACGGTGCCAAAGATGACCACGCGTTGTAACGCGATCGCGCTCAAAAATGTGTGTTTCTGCAATTGCTCTCATTCGAAAAGGCGCGCGAGATCGAACGAATTAACTTCTAATACCGTTAGAATTTTGTAATAATAAACGTTAGTCTTGTTTCCCGCTTCACACCGCGGGAATACGTCTCTCCTTTTTTCTGCGGACATCCCTGAAGGTGTATCCCTTCGAACTTGGATGCTCGATTTTAAAACGTGTGTTAAATACACGACGCCTTACCTCGGAGAGAACCGTCTGCGCACACACGGAAACGCAATTAAATCCTCGTCAAGCTTAATTACGAATTCACAGTTTTACTTAATATTTAATTAACTTTCTGTACATATACACACACAACACATACACACGTCTCTGACGCGATCGCGTAATTTTATATTAATTATTCTTTGATTAATTGTTTTCATAATTAACAGCTGTATTGATTTGCAGATATTAAGCGTGCAGTTTTTATATCGGGAAAGAAATTAATGTAAAAATAAATTACAGAGAAAAACAATTTTTTAACGCAATTTTATGTCATTCTCACGTATTTAAGAATGTGTTTTGCACCGAGGGAAGTGACGAGATTTGAAAAATTGTTTTTAAAAATGGCAAGCACGGCCTTTATTTTTAAAAACCGGAGAAAAACAGAGATAGCTTGTTTTCGCGCGATATCGCGCACGATTTGTCACTGACTCGCGTTATCAGATTTTCCCCCGTAGAGATATATCGCGAATTAGCGGACTGCGAAACACGATATAGCCGTAATTGTAGATAAAAAAAAAAAAAAACAATTCCACGCGCGGTCCACGAAGTATTTCCATCGTGGATCTCTTCGTAACGCTTTGTAACGCGTCGACGAACATCGCGTCGGTAAAACACACATGCCAAAGACCCGTCGCGAAGCAAAGTGTTACGCGTAGTGCGTAAGTCGAACGAAGAGTGGAAAAGTTGAAGTTAAATGGAAACCTCGCGAAGTTTTTTTTTTTTCTCAAAAAAAAAAAAAAAGCGGCGGTTTCACTTCTCTAAGCGCGAGCTCCGCTTCGACTCTCCTCTTCGCGCGAGGATTCTTCGAGTGACGCGCGAGTATCGATCTTCGTTTGACGAATTAATTAATTAACTTCCGCAGCGCTGCGCTGTTTCATTCCAATCAAACGTTCTGATTTGCATCATCTTCCCGCGAGACGTTTGCTCTTCTCACAACGCGTCGAATCTGACAAGATTCGCGGGTGATTTCCGAATCGCGCGAAATAATGGACTTCACGAACGGGAATATGATTCAAATCGCACGCTTTGATGCGTGTACACGGTTGTACACGCGACCGATTAGAGTTAAGGAGGATTCGATGAGGATTCTTTGGGAAATTGTTCATGTTTCATTTATTAAGACACAGAGATGTAATATAGTATATATATATATAGATATATATATATATACATGTTGTGTACATGCACGAGAAAATAAATGCGTTAGCAAGAAAAACGATTTTTCTGGAAAATGTTGAAAGGAAGGGTGTGTGTGTGTGTGTGTGTGTGTCGGCACGTCATGTGTCTCTCGTCTCTCCGCGTTTTCGAGCAACTATGCCGTGAACTACGATGCGGATTATCGGAAGGGGATTGGTGGATAGGTGCGTTTCGATAATCGATACGTGGCATGCCTTCGGGGGGGTAAGCTGGTATTTGACGGCACCGCAACGCCTTCATCAACTCCTGATTATTCTGAAGTATGCGCGCTCGAGCGCGCGGCAGTACTGCTACTCAATCACCGTGTATTCCCGTGTGTGTGTGTGTGTGTGTGTGTCGGAATCTTGTTTAAGAGACAAGCTTCTCCTTCGTCTTCGCCGCATTCGCAATTGTTTAATCGTGCGGAATAATTTTGTTCGGAAGTATATTTCTTGTTTCTTCTTCTTTATATTCGCGTGGATCAGGAGCGAATGCGCACACGTGTGTTTCCCTCTTTTGCGAACAATCCAGTAAGGTGTAAAAACACGAGCCTTGGCGCAGGATGTGTAGAATATAAATTGCGTGATGTTTTAAATCGAATATTTTTCCACATTATTTATACGCGGTAATTAGCGTCTCAACAATTATTTTCGGCAATTTACAAAAATTAGAAACGACAAATCGAAAAGTCTCTGCATAAATTACAAAATCGCGTGCCAATTAACCGAGAGACTTGAAACGGGGGTTTAGAAGTTGCCGCGAAATGAAAGAAAAGTAAATTCAATGTTGGTACTGGAGAAAAAGAATTTTTTTCGCGATAGGATCTTCTGCTCGTCGTTGGCGCGGATTATTCGAACAGCAGCGGGAACTTCGTTCCTTATTCGTCATTTATTTTAGAAACTCGAGGAGAATCCTGCGACGAGAGAGAGAGAGGTAAGAATAGCGTCTGATCCTCAGGCATTATTTTTTCCTCTCGATGTGCTTGTCATCTTCCTTCCACGGCGGCGTCGAGAGAGAACGTGAGTATATATATATATACATACACATCTATATACGCAGGATGCTTGTGAAATATGTGTCTATGCTTGCGCGGCAATTATGAGCGAGAAGGTGAATGGCGATTGTGTGCGTGTGGACACACTTTACACATGTGACCAAGACACTTCCAATTCGACTCACTCTGCCTTGCCTTGTAACGTCACTTTTGTTCTGTTTCTTTTTTTTTCCCCTCTCCGTTCTTCCGTGCGTGTCCTTGAAGGGTCCAATAAATTCGCGAAGTTCGCTCGGATCGTTCAAGGGCACCTCTTGAGACACGAGATTCCGCATTCCATAAAGAGAAAAAAAAACCACACAAAACCACCCATCGCACCGAAGGGTCCAAGGATTTCGACGTCTCGTAAAAATTTCAGGATTTGTGACGCCGATTCCAAAAAAAAAAAAAAAAAAAACAAAAACAAAAACAAAAAGAAATCTCGGCGATTCCGAAATCGAAGGATCTCTCGAGAGAAATCGAGAGAGTCGAGGAGTTCAGGATGAGATCCTGGACTCGTCGTGACCCTTCGGATTTTCCGAATCCGGAGATTGTTTTAACGCTCGTGACCGACCGCGAAGTGATTCAACATCAAAGATCCCTTGCGAAGACTCTCTGCGTCCCGTAGACTCTCTTACGATCTGAGGAGATTTCGGGATTCTCCGGGGCGCGACGATTGTCGAGTTTTTGCGAACAACGAACACGAGAGCCATGTAGATTGCTTGTTGGGTTTTGCAGGTTCATCGAATCAATCCCCCTTCAATTATCACAACATGTTCGCCGTAGCGCTTAACAGCCCGGCGATGTGGAAATGCCTCGCCTGCGGAAAGCAGGTGACCAATCGTTGGCATCACTTCCACATACACACCGCGCAGCGCTCGCTGTGCCCGTATTGCCCGGCCACCTACAGCAGGATCGACACTCTGCGCTCGCACATACGCACCAAGCACAGGGAGATGCTTTTCGAGTCCCCGGCGCCCGTGACACTCGGCAAGAGATCCTTGTAGAGGATGGCAAGTGTCTCGCGGAGAAGACTCGCGGAGCAAATGCGACCGCCGCCACCGCCGCTCCCGTTGCCGTATCTGCTCTATGAGCACCTGTTCGCGTCCTGCTTCGGCTACGGGTTGCCCTGGACGCCGGGATATCGGGGACCCATGGGATGAAGCTGCAAGCGCTTCCGCCGGCACTCCGCCGCGGAGAAGGAGCTCGTTTGTCTCGCCGACGCTCTTCTGAGTTGTCGCTGGAATAGCCGCGGCGCGTACAAGATGGAGATTTTAAAAATTGTACTATTATAGACAAAAAAAAAAAAAACAAACAAATCGACTCGCGGAAATCTATCCCGGCGTCAAAAAAAAAAAAAAAAAAAAAAAATCTATCGAGCGTCGGCGAGACGCCACGCCCATCTCCTCTCGATCTCGAAGAGGAGTTTCGGTGGAAGCTGGAAGCCGATCGGCGCGAAATTCCATTCTCTTGAAAATGAATGGGTGTAACGATCATTGTTGCGTCTTCGGACAAGCCGCTGTAGAGGAGAGAGGGGTGAAAGAGAGGAAGAGAGAAAGAGGGGGAGGGAAAGAGGACGATTCTATCGGGACACGTATCGTTCATCGACGGTCGTGTCGATTGTGTGTGTTGTCCCGGTACAACCGCCTCTTGTATATTCTGTTACATCGATATGTCTCGTGAGGCGAGTGTGTGGAAGGAGCGAGAGACGTCGCGGCCGATTGATTCCCTTGTCCTATTTGTTCCTTTTGCCCGCTGCTGTCGATCGGGCAGGGAAATAAATGGGACAAGCGGATCTATCGGCGACACGTTCCATGCGCTGTGACGATATGATGACGCATCCGAGTGTCAGAGAATTTTGCGAGGACAATCGATCGATAGAGTAAAAACAAACAAAAAAGTTAAAAAAAACCAAAAAAAAAAAAAAAAAGAAAAAAAAAGACGGACGGAATCACTTTCGCGAAAAACACACAGCTGTGGGGTCTCGTTCGGTTCTCTCTCTCATCGAGGCGGATCGCGAGAAACGGAACAAGAATTTTGAAATACATTTTATTGCTCTAAGCGCGTATTTAAAAAATATTATTACATTGTGCGAGCGTTGTTTTCTCGCGGGGGTGAACTCGCCCCCTCCTCGAGCGCGCGAATGTATTGTAAAGAAAAAGAAAAAAACCGAAGATTAGTTGACGGTACAGTTACGTACCGAGATGTCTTTCCGATATGTATTGTACATTCTTAAATCTTAGCGGAGAAACATTTTATTTTTTAAGATCGACATGTATGTATATTGTACACACATTTATTTATTTATTTTTTAGACACTTAAAACCCGATTTCTAATCTTCCGCAGTATTTTTTACACACACACACACACACACACACACCATATTTGAAAATAAATTCTTTTAAGTAAAATCATTCCTCGACACACACACACACACATACAAGTTGAGCGCCACGCGTTGTGCCACCGACGGTGCGCAGACAGTTTTATATAGGAAACGAGCCAATTAGCACAATTAACGATTAGGGAATAGGAAGATGAACGTTTCCTTGGTCACACACGCGGAGAGATTAATTACCGAAATTGTTCTGGCGGTCCGCTTCCGAAGACGTTAACACAACGAAGTAGAAAAAAACGGATTTCACTGTCTCGGCGAACGAGAATACCTCGTTCCGAAGGGGCGCGCGAGATCGACGGTCGCGCGAGAGGAGACGTTTGTCTATACGCTTTTAAAAAAATTGCCTTCCGCGCCGATCGTCGACGAAAAGATTGGTGGGATACTTCGGAAACGGTGGCGGAGACTCTTTCTGCGCACGCGCGGCTTTTCTGTTCATACTTCCTACGTGAAAAAAAAAAAAAGAAAAGAAAAAAGAAACGGTCTAATTAAGTGCAGTGGAACGCGCTGAAACGCGTGCTGTGATCTTCAGACACCGAAAAAAATGCTCTCAAAGATCGGGCCGTCGTCACCGTCGTCCTCCTCTCTGTGTGTGTTGTTAACCGGGAAATCGTTTCCCGAGGTGATAAACGGCCGTCTCGCGAGAGAGACGTTTCGCGCGCGACGTTCTTTGAGAGCGTTTCTTATTTCGCTACGCGCGATCATTAAATAACGACCATTTTTCTCACGATTGATTCGCGTTATATATATATATATATATATATATATATATATATATATATAATAATAGTAATAATAATAATAATAATAATAAACGGTCTGATTTGCAGACTTCAACTTGTATTATACGCATCGATGTCTCAGCGCCGGTCGAACGTGCTCGTGTGCGCGCGCGAATCTCGCGCGCACGAGACACTTTCGCGGGGAGCTGGTCAATTCAGAGTGACGGACTGGCCTAATATCTCTCGAGGAGAGGGTAAACAAACACGAGAAATACATACACACAGTATTATTTATTTAAATCGAATCGTAATCGCTCGAATACGCGCGTGCACACACGCGAAGCTTCCAAACTTTTGGTTTCGAGAAGAAAAAAGAGCTTATACCCTCGAAGAGGTCGAAAGAGATTTGTGAAAGATTGTAAACACGAGAGACAAAAATTGTCGCAATTACACGCGGCGCCGAAGCGAGCGAAATAAAATAAAAAAAAAAAAATCCGACGAATTTCGAACGATTGTTATTTTCACAGGGACCTCGCGTGTCGTCACGAACACGCTTCAAACGTGAGTGAATTTTTTCGATTTTACAACATTTCTTCTAGACAGTATTAGTTAGACGCTTTTAGAGAGCCCTGTCAGCCAGTCCGTGTCAGATCTTTACATGTTTGTGTGTAACTAATAAAAAAAAAAAAAAAACATTTGTTACCTCGTCGATCCCTTCCAGCTTCTTTGGTCGTCGGAAGATTGATGAAATTCCGCGACGATTCTCGCGCGCGCGCGAGAAGGACCTTTGCCCGAGAGATGTCGCGGTGTGACAAGCCACTCCGGCCTCGCGAAAGAGCCGTTTGTTGTAAAATTAAAAAACATTTGTAAATATCCGCGAAAAAACCGGACGGAATAAAAGCGATCGATTCTGTCTGCCACGTATTCTTTCAAACGTAAAGATTTTTATCGCGCTTCAATATTTTTGGCGAAGTACGCACAAGAATCGACCGCGCGCTCATCATTAAGCTCCTAATCGTACATGTAGCCTAAGCTTTTAATCATAGCCTAATCGTAGATTTAATCAGAGTGGGATAAAAACGGGCGTCTCGTTGAACTCTTTTGTTCTTTTCATTTGCTTCGGGGGAGGGGAGGGAGGGGGTTGATAAAGAATATTAGCGCGGTTGTGATAGGATTCGCGGACGTGTCGGATCGACTTTTGTTTCGAAACATTTTAGTCCTGGGACCAACTCGAGCGTCGTCGTCGTCGTCGTCGTCGTCGCATTAACTCCGCGCGGTTATAATTGAAAGTTAAAAACACAGATTTCGCGAAACGGGTTTAGAGAATCGCGCGCGCGCGGTCCTCGCCGGACACAACGGCGATCGGGGACGGGACTCCCCTTCGTCGCTGATAAATGAGGGAGCGACGAGAAGGGGAGGATGAGGAGAGAGAGAGATTGTATAATCGAGCGACGTGTACTTTTTCAATCGACGGCTCGATTTAAAAAAAAAAAAAAAGTTTCCGTGTCCGACCAAATTATCGGGTCTGAGCTGTTCGAGACGAGATCGCCCGCTTCGCTTTCCTCTCCTCGTCGCGCGTTTTTCGCGACGGGAGTGAGAAGCGCGGATGACAAGGGGCGCACGTGCCATTGTAAATAGCGGGACCGCGGCCGCGCGAGACTGGAGTGGCGTGACACGTCCCGGTGTGATACGTCCGAATTTTGAGGGATCGCGACGTTTCCTGCGCGCGATCAGCGCGCGTGCGAATATTGTACGTAGTATCGTCGTGTGCACGTTCGGAGAGATAATTTCTCCGCGACCGAAAGCAGAGCTAGATATACGACCGCGCGATTCCTTTCCCTCCCTCCCACCCTCCCTCCCTTTCTCCAAAACAAAGAAACGCCAGACTCGATCAAACAAACAGAACTTTATCATGAGAACTGAAACGCGCGATGATAATGAAGTTAACGATCCTAATTAGCACGCTCCGAAAAGAGGAGAAACTGCTTTCCAGTTCTTGCAATGCACAGACCCACTGGTTTAATTAGTCTCAACTTTGAATCTTGAGGTTTTGATTCTCGGCGAGAAAGAAAAAAAAAAATATTTTACGCGCGCTACTCTCGATCGCAGAAGGCGAAGGTACAATTAATTTTGAATGACCGATTAGATAGAAGTAACAAGATGTTGATTTGGTGTAATGTGTTATATAAATATATATAAGATAAGAAAAATTATTACCAAACTGACATCTCGTTGCTCTTGTCGGACCGAAAAAAATTAATTGTATATTTGATACCCGGTGTTTGGACGAGAAGAAGAGTTTTCTCTCTTCGTGCTCTTTCGCCTTGACGTGCTGTCGCGGTCCGACGAAAAAAAAAACCCACGTTCAAAATTCTCGGACGAGGCAATTCTTTTTCCTCTTGTGGCAGATGCCGTCCTTTTTTTTCCAACTAACGAATTTCCACCCATTGAAGCGTCAGATTCCATGAAAATTTGCGAATTTTCGCGAGTTCTTCTTGTGTGCGCGCCCCGCCCTTTCCCGTGTTACTTCGTGATCACGAAAAAATTTGTCGCGGACAATCTTGTTATACGTTCCTCGTGAATATGCAATTTTTGCGCGCTCGTTCGTGTTCGACTTCTCTAGTCATTTTCGCCGGTGATTCGTCGCGCGGTGGATTTCTGGTTTTCGTTTTAGTCGTTTTCTTTTTTTCTCTGTCTCTCTCTCGCGTCCGGAGTATCGCGTGGTCGAGAAGAACCACGCGAGAAAGCGACAAACACGCGACAAATTTTGTGGGAAAATATCTAGCTCGAGAGTTTTTCGGTCGCGAAGGAACCGAAGAAACACGTGTACGTGATCATCGACTGGCGCGTGATATGACGAATGCAAACCTTAGGTATGTTATAATAACAAGTACGCGCATTCACACACACACATACATACATACATACATACATACATACACACACACATATATTATGTAATACATATGATACAATTATATAATAGATGGCTAATTGTAAACTCGCACAGGGGCGGTTTTGTTGCCGAAGGTGTGTGCCGACACAACGCAGAGAAGGAATCTTCGTCGTCGCGTGGGTGAACTCGAGGGGGGGGCGGTGAATGAAGTTTCACCACCCCTGGCACAAAATAGTTCAATCTTATATAAATAACTTTTAAAAACAAACAATACACGCGTATAGATATATATATATATATATATTTTATATTTACATCTAGACGTACATACATACATATATATCGATGTAAAATAATCTTGCAAAACACGTTCATCGCATTATTGTTTACAAATGTTTATCGCATACATCGTTAATCGATTTGGACTCGCGGCGCGTTTTCGACATTTACGCTCGCTCTCTCAAAAATTTTCTATTTTATCGCAAAGCGTCCGAGACGCTGTCTCGGTACACACCTTTTTCTTTGTGAAACAGCCCCCCTCCGCACGTATCTCTACTACGTGTTGTCTGGTGGTCCGGTAGTAGCGGAAATCGGAACTTGGAGTTACGAGATTTAATTTGCTCAGGCTGCCGAGCGACTCTTCGCGACGCGACGCGCCGCGACAGATTGCTTTATCGTCGTGTCTTCCGTGTTTGCCGCGCGTACACACAATTTCTTTAGTTAGACAACGATTATGTGCCGTCCCGTGACTCGTCGAGCGTTCTCACGGGGAAAAGAGAAGAAGGAGGGGCGCAAAGAGATCGATATCACGGGTTTTTTTGAGATTCCTTCCCCTCCTCTTTCCCCGTCGATCCCATGAACTTACCGGGAACTTGAATAATCGCGTCTCTCCCGCGCGGATGTGCACCGCGGATTGAAGTATTTCGCGACGGGCGTCAATCCGGATTTTTTTTTTTTTTTTTTTTTTTTGGTCAGTACATGCGTTTCTTCTCGAAAGAAATCTCTAGACGTAAGATCGTATATGTAGAATATAGATCGTGTAGATCCGTTAACACAGATCGAAACTCTCTTCCCAGCCGACGTCTTCTCTCTTCGCAATATTTGTACATCTCGTCTTGTTCAATTTACATTAGCTGCGTTCGGGCAGCAGCGATCTCTCGCAAAAACCTGGCCACCGGCATTTTTGACCGAATTATCGCCCTGATATTAAATGTTCCTTGTTATATTCTGCGAAAATACTCCAAGTAAAAAAATAGTCACTGTGTAACTGATTGAAACTCGATGCGCGTGCGGATTGCACAAAACGAGAGGAGGATTGAGAATTGAAAAAAATTTTTTGTGATAAGAACGTAATAACTCAACAACACGAGCACGCAGAGCGAGATGCGGTTCCAAAATATACTAGGTCGGGTTTGTTTTTTTTTTAACTTGGGCGCAGTTTATTTTGTCTTCGTTCGTGTTATCGCGAGCGTCGCAGCGCGCCCACGGATTATTTTCCAGTTTTATTCGAGTCGATAAGAGACAGAGAAAAGCAGGTTTTCTTGAAACAAAAACAAAACAACATCCATTTTACTTTTCTCGTCGACACTCCGACTTTCGAGAGTGTCTTCAGTTTGAGTTCCTTCGATCCAAAGATTTTGCTCTGATTTTTTTCTCTTTACACACACACACACACGCGTGCGCGCGCGCGATGATTTTATTATTTTTCCACGAAACATCGCGTGTTGTTGTTGTTTTTGTTTTTAACAAGACTTGGTAAATTTTTGAACCTAGTGGCCAGACCGTGTGTATTCTCGTTACAACGGTTAGAATCGAATAACGGTTGTTGCGCGCACACATACATACATGCACACACAGACACACACTCGATGTAACTATTTAAAATATCGATATCACAGTATGTCAGTCTCAATGTCTCTTTTGATGGTACTTAAAACGAAAATAAATAAATAAATAAATAAATAAATAAATAAATAAATAAATAAATAAATAAAGGTCGCTCAGCGGCCCTCGCCGCATTCGGCGGCCGATTCTCGATAATGTTCTTTAAGCGAGGTTTAAGAGATAATTAAAATATATAGGAAGAGGAAAAGGAAAGAGCGCGAAAAAAAAAACGTTTTTTCCCGTAGCACGTTCCTCCCTTTCGGCCCGACGTGCGTCTCGGGCACGAATTTTTTTTTTTTGTTTTTTTGTATATAAAGGACACGAAAAAAAAAAAAAAAAATTGCCGCGGACATTGCCGCGGAGAGGCGTGTAATAATAATATGCGAACCGAGAGAGAAATGTGAAATCCGAAAAAAGAGAAAAAAAATTGTGAAAGCGCGCTCCGACTGTCGCAAGTCGCGCGCGCCGCCGACATTTTATGCGTTGCGAACTCGCATGTTATACACTCGTTGCTATGTGATGTATTTTTGTGAAACAGTATTGAACGTGCTACACACACACACATTATTATTGTAACGGTAAATGTATTAATGATGTACCTATATGTACAAACATATATATTTATCTAAATGTAATATGGATGTGTGAGCAAAATTCTCCTTATTACTCTCTCTCTCTCTCTCTCTCTCTCTCTCTCTCTTTCTATTTCTCTCTCAGTGATCTCTCTCTCTCTCGTCTCTCTCCCTCTCTTCTCACACTTTCCCTTCCTCGCTCTTCCGGTCCGAAGATCTGAATGTCCCCGGATCCTCTGCTGCTGGCTGTTGCTGCTGCTGTTGCTGCCGCTGCTGCTGCTGCTGCGTCGCCTCGACGACCCGGTCCTGATTAATGTCATTTGTCTCGCCCTCGCCGCGTTAACTTACCGGTAATTCGGGCGCGCGAGACGCAAAGTAAATTCGCCACATTAACTTACCGAAAGTTTCAGACCCGGTTATTCGTACACGGTGCGCGAGGCGGGCGTGAGTGCGAATTAAATTCCTGGGAACCCGGGACTCTCTCTAATAATGAATTTGTCCCGCTACATGTATACAGTTATCGCGATACGACTGTTGAATTTCCGCGCGATGACGCGGACACAGAGCGATGATTAATTAATTTATCTCGGGAGATGTGTTTCTTCTTGATCGCATTGCGAAATTAAAAATCGCACGTCATTGAGCACGTCGCGGTCGAACTGTTCAAACAAGGACTCGGTACCAAACATCACGAGAGCAGATAGCGCGAGCTCAGGTAAGAAATTTGTACGTACGACGATTATTCTCTCGCGCGAGGAAGATTGACGAAAATTGCGCGATAAAAACGTTTAATCCTGAAAAAAAAAAGAAAAAAAAAGACGGATCAATATATCGGTCGTTAATACAAATATTATATAAAAACAATGGAAGCGAACGCGAGAGTAATAATAATTCCGAGGCTTTTTAAACTGCTGCCATCGAAGATCGTAAAATCAATAACGCGTTCCTGTCAATACTTGTTAATCCGACCATTTTACAGAGAAGCACAAAGAGACCATGAATTGGATATTGCTGTCTCTCCTCCCTCTCTCTCTCTCCCCCTCGTTGAAGTCGCTTTGCAGCGAATATTGTTTGATTATCGAGAGAATTGACATTTCATCGATATACAATCGTTCAAAGGAACTCGGGGAACGCGGGGATAGGAGAGGAGAGAGCGCGATATTTTCGTCGGGGGAGAGAGTCCGCGCCGCGCTTTTTCAATGTAAATCGGGACCGCGGCTTGGCACTTACGCTTTGAAATTCCGCCGCGCGACGGCAAAATGTAATTATGTCACCGCGCGACCTGTCTCTCGCGCGTCTCATCTCGTCTCGTTAAAAACTACACGCGCGCGCGCTCTCTCTCTCTTTCTCTCCTCCCGCGCGAACGTGTGTGCAGGCGTTTTCGCGTTTGTGTCTCCGCGAGAGAGACACGTACTACAACGCCGTGTCTTCGCCGCTCCTCCGGATTTTTTTTACAACGCGCGTGACTCGAAACAACAATCGGACGCGAAATAAAGTCGTTCGTTTCTGAGTCGCGCTTAACTTCGCGAGAACATAACGGCGAAAAAAAACCGGAAAACCGGCGCGCGGTCGTATCTCGAGGCGCGTATTCCACCGAACCGGAAGATCTTCGGCCGAATTGCTCGAATACGATATTAAATTGATAGATCACGTGACCTGGAAATTGCTCTCTTCGAAAAGTTTTCGAGTCTGTTGATTGATGAGTGTTCGAAGGCGCTCTTCTCGTCGTACCGCGAGAGAGATCGACGCGAATTCAATTAAATATCCGAGCACGTGGAATACTAATTAACAATTACAAAAAAAGAAAAAACACGTATATTACATAACGAGAGAGATTTATAGTCAGTCTCGTTTTCTTTTCGCTTATTTGCATTTTCTTCGGAGAACCAAACAAACGTACGTTTTTTTTCCCGCGAGCAAGATAACAAAAAAAAACCTTCGCATCGCGTAAACATCGCTCGACACACACATCTCTCAGTGAGCTCGAGAGACCGTCCGAGACCTTCAGATCGAGTTGGCAATTGAGACCGACGACTGTTGTTTCTCGCTGTTATCAGAATCGGTATCGGGAAACGTTATGCAACGCGCCCGAAGATAAGACGCGCCTCTCACCGACGCGCACAACGCCGAAGCGCTAATTACATAAATTATTCAAAGGTTCCCCTTGAGAATGAAGTTTATTCGATATATACATACATACATACATACATACACGCGTCGCACAGAGCGTCGACTATAATAGATATGCTCTCTCGTGTACCGTTTTCGCAGCGCGAAAAAAAAACCGGTTTGTACTACGCTCGACGGCGCGCGGGCGATAGAAGGAAAGAGAACGGATGACGAGAGGAGAGGAAAATACGGAACTCGTCACTTGTGTGTGTGACAAACTCCGTCGTCCGCCAGATGGCACCTCGTTATTGAAGCCACATCTTGCCGGAGCGACATTACTTACGACCCCGGCTAGCCTAACTGCGTCGTCGATGGGTCCAACCTTAGTTTCTTATTCGCAATTTCTATTCGTCTCTCGTTCGTTTAATAGATCCCAAGGCTGTCGCTCATTTGGACGACAATGGCGTACGAGCACAAGTTTCTTCCCTCGCTGGACGCGATGAAATGGGTACGTTTTAGACAGGACGAAAAGGACATCGCGGAGCTGCAGATTCTGGACCAGCTTCTGTTGCCGCATACAAAAAGCTACATCAAGATCGAGAGCGTTCAGGACGCCTGGAATGCGATCAAAACGATGAAGGTGAGCGATTGATCGAGTCTCTCGTGAATGATTTATTAAAATTTATATTTTTAAATACTTGATGGACGAGGAATATCCCCAAGTTCAGTGTGGGATAACCAAATTTGTTAAAGAAATAACAATTTGTTTACATGTAGTGCCCACTGAAGATGACTAAGTACACAGTCGAAACGTTTGGGATCTAATAGAGTTTAAAATATTTTTCTCCCTGCAAATCATCCTGCATCTCTGTTCAGTCACGCCTTCTCTACTATCAAATTTGGTTATTTAATTTTTTTTTCCAACAAGTAAAAACATCAATTAATTTAAATTTCAACGTGACAGGCAGTTGGAACTAAATACACGGTTTCAACCTTCGGTTTAGGTCTTTATCAAATTAGATATGTGCTGTTTAACAAAACTTCGTACAAAACAATGATGATAATTAAGATGTTACAACAAGTCGTATCGCAAACAAGAGCTGTGCATGACTTCCAGACTCGAAACGTTGTTATGCTTCATTTATATACATCATGAATAAATAATATTACCATCACATATTCGCACAACAACACCCGTGTATTTAGTTCCAACTGCCTGTCACGTTGAAATTTTACATATTTTTGGAACTATTTGTCCTTTCTCTGAATTATCAATTAATTTGTTCCAAATATAACGATGGTTTTCTTCGGCTGAGTGAGAGAAAAGAAATTGAAATTTAATACTATATTTAATCATTTGTACATGTAAAAAAAAAATACCGTCTTGCGTTTGATTTTTCCACGAATTTTGGAAAGAAGTCGGAGGACCATTAGACGTGCGAAGAGTTGTAGTGTCAAGTATATGTTTGCAGTCGAGATATAAATATTCATGCATGTTAAGTTCCTCACATGACAATATTGAAACAAAAATTCAAATGAAGATTCTGCTTGCTAGACCACTTTATCAGCATTTAACATTGAAAAAGACCCAATTCAAGGGTCAAGACCTTTGTTGCCAACATATGAAGAGTTTTGTGGTAATGAACCTAAGCACCAACACTAGTTCTTTCTAGGCTTTGTTGTAATAGTTTGTGTATTTGCATGCGTTCTTTCTCATCTTCACATAAAAGTACAATGTCACGGTAGGTACGTGGATACACGTTGGTGTATGTGTATGTTTTTCATGATTAATGCTAGTTGTGTATCATGTAGGTACGAGGTGCGCCAGCCATAGCTATTGTAGGCTGCCTCAGCTTGTCGCAAATGCTCATTAACGAGCTTCACAAGCCGCTTGAGGACAAAGCAGCTCTGTATCAATACGTTGAGAATAATTTCAAGTACTTGTTAACGGCTCGTCCAACCGCTATCAACTTGAAAACAGCAGTCGACCAAATCACAAGCATGGCGCGCAAAGACGTCGACAATAAGAACGTAACTTTGTCCGAAATGAAAAAGAAGTGAGTGCACGCGCGCCTCTTCGATAACCAAATTTATAAGATTTCTCGTATCTTCGAACTGGTGATGTTTCAGAATTATAGACAAAATAGAGTCGATATACACGAACGACAGACGCGACAACAGGGCGATTGGGGCGAATGGCTTCGCCGCTATTCTGACCGATCCAAGAATGCGCAGCGTCAATCAACGGCTGCTCACGCATTGTAACACAGGCAGTCTCGCCACCGCGGGATACGGCACAGCTTTGGGTATCGTCAGATACTTCCACGAGGAGGGAAAACTTGGTAAACACATCGCTCGAATTTTACGCTCTTGAAATTGTTGTCTCATATTGAAGAAAGATTGAACGTGAATTTGTGTTTTCTTGCATTTTCAGAGCACGTCTACTTCACCGAGACCAGACCGTACAATCAGGGCGCTCGTTTGACCGCTTACGAATTGCTGGAGGAAAAGATACCCTCCACTTTGATCTGCGACAATATGGTTGCGATGCTGATGACGGACAAAAAAATCACGACGGTCGTTGTGGGCGCTGACAGGATTGCCATAAATGGTGACACCGCGAACAAGATCGGGACTTATCAGGTGATGACTTATCTTTGATTTGTAAACTTCACAGATACGACAACGAACGATATCGCGAGTCAAAAGTACTTGAATACAGTTTGAACGATGATAGCGCGTAATCAGGCACAGCATATGTTTACGGTTGTCTTATTACCGATATGTAGATTGCGATTCTTGCCAACTACCACAAGATTCCTTTCATCGTGGCCGCGCCGTCGTCGACCATAGACGTAAATATACAGACTGGCGACGATATAGTCATCGAGGAGCGACCCGAAAAGGAGATGGTTTACGTAAACGACCAGAGAATCGCACCGGAGGGCGTGCGTTGTTGGAATCCGGCGTTTGACGTAACTCCGGCGGATTTGATCACGCGCATAGTCACGGAACGTGGCTCGTACCGGCCGTCAGAACTGAAAAAAGTCTTCCAAGTAGTGGATAGAAGAAACCCCTAGAAAACCACTAGCGGAAAACATTCTGTTCTAAACATGTCCAAACTATATTTTTTTTGTCAACAAGACTTTTATATTTTTTTTGTTTTTTAACTCCAATGATCAGTCGAACTAGCTCGGGGACATTTTAAGATTCAGTTGCCTACTCGCCTGAAATTCTTGCATTCACTTGATTCAAACGACTCAGGGAATCGATTATCAATTTGCCTAATGAGGCTAACCAAAGTTTGTTCTTTAGTCATTCTGTAATATGTTAAGAATTGTTATATGATGTAAACTATATATTACTTTTTAAGAATATATTAGTTTTTTATACATGTAATTTCTTACTACAATACATGTATTTTCCAACTTAGCATGTTTTGAATTTCTAGGTGTATATTTCAACACTACCGCAGCAAACATACATTAAACGTCTCTTCGTACAAACAGTTTTTTTTTTTTTTTTTTTTTTTTTTCAAAAAATTGTATTTTATTCTATTTTGGCATTTTTCCTCTCACTCTTTTGAAGAAGACTATGTATGGATTAATATATTTTAGAACTCCCTAAACACAAATTTCTTTCTCCTATTTTTAGGTGACATACACACACACGTATATACAATTGTATTTTATAATTTTTATTTATTTGCAATTCGCGTGACAAGTGACCCACAAGTCGGTCGAAGCTTCTCTACGACTTTTGCCACGTTAACGATGGTATTGTTAATACTACGCTTGTTCTCGACACGCGCGAACCCGCGGAGTTTCTCGCGGGAGAACACATGAGGAATCTATTTTCGCCGCGGAAAGTCGCGCGCGGGATTTCATTCGTCGTTGGGTTTCCGCGGTGCGGTGCTTTAGTACCGTCAGCCTCGCCGCGGAGCTTGGACGCCCGGAATAGTTTTCCCGCTGTTTGAGAGATTTTTCTGATCCGGACGGCCAGTGCTCGCGTAACGAGAGAACAAGATCTTGCCGATTCCGCGGTACACGTCGCGCTTTTCTCTCGGTTAACCGCGCGAGATCTCGTCTCTCGGCAAGCAGTTCCTCGATTGTTCCTCGTCAGGGAACTGCTGGAACCGCGCGAATCTTCTCCCCGAGAAGGATTCAGGTGAAACGAGGATGGAGGTGGACACGGAGAACGTCGGGAAGGACGACGCTCTGATGAGGTCCAACGGCGATGGCGTCGCCCACAACAACAACGAGGCGCCCACCGTCGAGGAGACTTACGAGATCACTCACACCAAGCGCAAGACCATTCGCACCAGCTACACGATCCAAGAAGTAAGTTGTTCCCCAAACATGTGTCTCTCTCCGCGATACCCGTTGGACAAAATATTCCCCACTGGGAAGGTGTTTATTATTTTCCGGTTTGAGGAGCGCGCGATGCAGACGCAAAACTCAGTTCGCACACGTAACACGATTTACCAAACAGCGGCCCGACTATTGTTTATTTATCAGTTTGCGCTCACCGTGCAGCGGTGACTCACACTGATACACTCCCTCCTGTTTGTGTTTTAACCCGTATGCGCAAGACGCGAAAATTCAGACGGAAATCTCGCGTGTAAATTTTCCGCTCGTCTCGTCGAACGAAAAGAGAAAGAGAGATACTCTCGCGAATTGTTGTCTTCCGAGAAACAAACTGCCGTTCGTTTCTACGTCATTGTCAGGATGACGATTTTAGAATCTGGCAGCAAAATACTCGCGCAGAAAACCGATGGGCGGCGCACGCAACGAACAAGACCGGCCGCCGATCGCGAACTTCCGATCATCATTCGTGATTTGCGTCTTCCTGTCTTGTGCGATTTCGTAACTCCTTTGATAAATCAATTGATGACGACGACGAGGCTCCTTTGATGTCGGTCAACGAGCTGAAAACTGTTTTGAAATTACATCAGCAAGATCGTTTCGTTTAAAAATATGTGCGAAAGCGAATCTTTACGAAAAATTGTTTTGATTCCGGTAAACAAAGTGAAAAGCAAAGTTAAATTATTTGTTACTAAAGAGCGAATTTTTAAACACAGAAAATAATATTTTTGGAACGCACGTGAAAAGCGAATCGTAGGGAGAGAGAGAGAGAGAGAAGTAAATCGTAGATTATAAGCGCGTTAACGATCGTTGCAAAATAAATACCCGCGCATCAAACTACACAAACACACGTCTGCGTGAACTGTCCGGCTTGCCGATGAAAGTTGCAAAATTCTTGGCCGAAGCCCGAACATCACTTCACCGCCGTGTTCCACCGAATTAACCAAAGGACTCGTTAGGTGTAAATTATGAGGGCGTTTATATTAAACCCGGGGGCTGGAATTTTCTAAACGAACGAAGAAGAGAAAGAGAGAAAATAACACCTGTGAAACGATAATCTGCCGCGGACCGACGAAAATTAGCCGCAAAGCGGGTTTTTAAGTATAAAGAGGGAAAGAGAGAGAGAGAGAGAAAGAGAGAGAGAGAGAGAGAGAGAGAGAGAGAGAGAGAGAGAGAGAGAGAGAGAGAACGTGACACGCGCGAGAAGAGATTTCTGCAGCGAGCGGCGAACCGCGTCACAAGACACGATCGACGTCGTAAACTCGCTTGATCGTTTTCCGCTTGTAACGCAATTAGCGGTCAAGAAAGCTGCTGCGGGGCGAGCGATTCCATCTCGTCGATGTTGGGACGACGAGAAACGGCGCTTCGTTAAAGCGGCAACTAAATTGCAGTTCACTTTGTCGTCGGACGGCCACGTGGCGGCATAAATTTCACTGGCGATCTGCTTTCGTGAAAGCGACGATCTGTTTCCGGCCGCCGCTTGATGAAGATACTCGCTTTTCGAACATCCCTAGTTGTTGCACAACACACGCGCGCGCGAGGAAATTTAATACGTGTCTCGAATTAATACGCGTCCTGTCCGGACGCGGATTGTGTGCGTGTTCGATCCTTCGTTCGCGTATTTTCCGCTCCGAGGTTTTTAACCAAAGAAGATTTTATTGTTATTTTATGTGATAGCAAATTTGATAAACAACAACAATACAAAGAAGATTGTAAATTCAATAAAAAAATCTTTAAAACGAAAGATACATTTCACACGAGTCGAAACTATTTCGCGACGTTATTTTCAACGCGAATTTTTGTTACCTCGATATTTACGGCGACAAGAATAAGCCTTGAATTTTACAGCCGCGCGCAATTATCCGGCAATAATTTTCTCGCGATTCGGACGATCGCGCGAACGGACGGGAAGATCACGCCGAAGATCTCGACCTCGGTGCTATTTTGAAAGTACGTCAGACGTGTTCGATCGCTCCTGCGAACAAGTGGATATTCTAATTCTATATAATCGATGCGCCACTTCTGACGCTCGCGCGCTCTCTTCTACGCTTTTATAAATAAGGAGGAAGCGCGCGCTTGACATGGAGCTTCGCAAAATCGACCGATTTCCGATTCGAGACTGTGTGTTCACTCTTCGAGCAGCCAATTACAAGACGCGAGAAACGAAAGTGCGCGCATGGCTCGAGTTTTTCCGCTCAAAAAATCAAATATCTGCGAAATATGCAGAGAAAACTCGGAATTGGATCCGAGCGATGTGTGTCACGCGGAGGTGTAAGATGACTCCCGAAGCGAAGTGGATACTGTTTCTCAGCTGTCACCGACGACGGGTTGGAAACAGCTGAGCTGTCACATTTAATTTCTCGATTTTCCGACTGTGTCTTTTCCATTTCCGAAGGAACCGCACGATAACTCTTCGCAGGGAAAAAAAAAAGCTCCAAATCCAAAAGCCACGGAATCGCGCGCGCTGTGTCACTTCTCGCTCGTGACGTTTATAAAAAGCCAAAATGGCTGCTCTTTCGCGAGGGAAGCGTACGCGGAAAATAAACATAAATATAATGTATGGAGGGTGAGAGAACTCGCTGACGACGAGTCGTGCGACGCCAAAGTCGTTTCCGCGTTGGTGAATGCGTGCGTGACGCGCGGGTTAAGCGTCGGCGGTGTTGTTCCTACCCCGACGTGAATCGTCGACACGCCGACGACGTTTTAAACGACGCGCTGAAAGCCGAGCGAAAAGTGAACCAATAAGCACACGAGGGGAGAGAGTTGAACGCGAGTGGTTTCTTCGCAGCAGCTGTCGCGCGTCGTGGAAACGTCAGCAAATCATTTGGGGGAAGAGGAAAACCCTGTTAGAAACCCTGACGAAAATCAATTTAAGCGCCGCGCTAGTCTCTCGCTCCCGAAGTCACGTTTATTGTCGCTCGCTCAATTAACACTCTCGTTCATTTTTGTCGCGCGACGATTAACTTAACGCCCGAGTTAACGGAGTCTCAGACTCGGGGAATTGACTGTCTCGGAGTATGTGACAAATGAAGTTCGAATGTAAATTCGCTTCTCGCCGAAGAGACAGGAAGAAGGAAAAGGGGAAAAAGAAATTTGAATATGAATAAAGTTTCTTTGCGATTATTATCTTCGATCTTCGAGCGCGAGTAGTTGTCTAATGAATCCGGCAATCATTTTGTCGAGAAAAGAATCTCCGCTCTTCGAACGCTAGAAGGAATGTGTCATAAAAAAAATGAAGAGAATTAAAAGAGCGTCGTCCTCGCGTTTTCTCTCGGCTCGCCGGTAAATTGATTTCTGTTTCTATTCGCGAGCGGAGAAGCGGAAGGAGAAGACATCAGCCCCCGCGCGTGAAAGCCGGCGATAGAAATGTTTAGAAGAAAACGAAAAGAGAGGCAAGTCGAAGCGCGCAACGAAAACGAGGAGGACCGCGCGCGCGCGTAAACTCCGTGAACGGACGTGTTTTCGCAGTCCGTGAATTTGTCCCCGTAAATTACTCGCCGTGCTACTGACGTCCAATTAATCATCGTAATTCCAAGTTATCCGGCCCGTTGCGGGCGATACCGGTTTATATACCGGCAGGCAGTTGAATTATTTTCGAGGTCGCGGGCGGCTCCGCCCGCCCGATCTGAATGAGCTTTCTGTCCGCCATATTTCACGAACGGAGGAGAGAGAAAAAGAGAAAAGCTCCCTCTCCGTGCGAATGAGAATAATTCGCGTTTTCCGAGAATATCGCGCGTCTCTCTTTTCTCGCCTGACGTGTATATACTTCAAAGCAAAAACCCGCTCGCTCGACGCGAAACTTGCGACTCTCGTCTATCAATAGAAAATCTAATTAATTATTAATGCAAAACCCTCGGCGAAGTTTACGCGAGCAAGAATTTCGCAAACAGGAACATATACAAAAAAAAAACAAAAAAAAAATCGTTCACGTCACCTGTTGTAACGTACGCGACAATATTGTACGCGTTTAACGACCGCGAGTTCCCTCGCGACACGTGACATCGATCAGATCGCGGTCCGCGAACCGGAACGAAGTCGGTCGCGAAATGTCAGGGAAAAGTGATCGAACGGGTTAAGAGGTAAGTTATCACATTAGCGCGACCCGGTATTGACATTTAAACGCGATTTGCCGCGTCTATTGCTATTGGGGGACGAAACCGCGCGAGCGCCGCAGTACAGTCCCACGCTTCGCCCTTTCTCTTTATCGGAGCAAAGTGCTTGCCGATAATGAAACACGACTTCCGTCGCCGTCCCCATTGTGTGTTACGCCGGCCTCGCGCGTCGGAGATTACTGGCGGATACCTGTTGAATTCCATTCAACGGATGAACCCGCGCTCAACGGTTACACGCTGTTTCTCCGCCGCGAACACGCGAACGACTTCCCCTACGAATCCCGACTCTTCTCTCTTCCTCCCATCCCTTGTCGCTATTGTTAAACGCGTTTGTAGCTGCTGCAATCTCGCGCGCCGCGCAGATGTAAATGGAAACGAAATGTTTCACGCGCTACGTTGATATCGCGGCGCCGCGCTGTTTCATCCCGCACCGACGCGTCGCCATGTGTGTAATACGAAACAATCGTCTCTCTCTTCTGTGATTTTTAAGCGCCGCGATTGTTACCGATAAATACCAAACGAAAAGAGAAAAAAATTTTCTCGCGTCTTATCCAGCCGCGTCCGGGGTGGTTTGAATTCGTTGATATTTTCACGGCGCGATTAATGCTCGAATTTTCTCTCGCAGAAAAAATCGAGAGATCTTCTTCTTTCCTCGCGGAAAGACACTCATCGGGAATGAACACGATGAGGAAACGCGCGCGCGCGTGTAACTCGAAGCACTCTTGGCACGCGAAGCGGGAGGAAACCCGACGAAAATTCCACCTTGCCTCGGGTCGTCCGACCTTGCGCCCGACGAGGTCGGTCAGGTGACGGCCTACCGCAAGCTCCGAGCTATTAAACGCTGCCGATAAAATTTTTCAAGCG